GGCGATAGCTATACCTCATATTTTGAACTCAACAATGCTAACTCCAGATCATAAAGGCAGGTGGATGTTACTAATGCCAATACCCCCATTACACAACTGTTTAACAAGAATACATATATTCACAGTATTGTTGATAGTGCCCATTCATTTACATTTGAATGGATTTATACTATTTTATGAATCAATAAGAGCAGTCAAAACAGTTACCAGGTGCTTCTGATGAAATCTTTAACATATTTTGAAAGATTTATTTTGACTAAGAAGAGCCCTTAATCATCCCAGTCTAGTAACGTCCTACCTTTCAAAAGAGAAAGAATAAAAAAGGGCTCTACTTTGTATATCACAGGGTGTGATTTACTTATGTGCCTAACCCCATTAAACAAACAAACAAGAACCAAGTTAAATATCACCAGAATGTTTTTATAGATCTGCACAAAAAATTAGTTACAATTAGTTCCCCTAGAGGTTGCTGTAATCCTAGATATGGGAAAGGCTAGTACGTGTGACAATTATTTCCCAAAGATCAAGAACAATAAGTCTAGGCAAAATGGTTTAATATTTGTTTCTCTTTAGTTGAAATCATGTAAACATTTATGATTTTATAATCATAAGGTTAAGATAAGTATCTTGACAATTTCAGTGGCAAAATGGTAACAACTCGAGCTTATAGGAAGAAAAGCATTAAATCTATAACAATATTTTACAATACTGCAACAATATGAATACTGATTAAGTTTTTTCTCCAAAGTCAAAGATTTTGTTTTAAAAAGTTAAGATTTTTGTTTTGGATGCAAAGCACAGTAATTTTACAGAACTGTAAAGTGTAGTTCTCAGAAAAATGACTGTTAAAAAAAGGCTTCAGGGGGTTCCATATTTATTGTTACTCCATATCAAACATGTTCAGTTTAAACGGAAAAGATTTTTTTTTTTGTCAGCCCTGTTCATGCTACCTAAGGTCAAGTAGAGTTCTTTTTGCCTTGCTGGAGACTGGTGTTTGGAGTGGGGGGAACCAGTGCCGATATCGAGGGGACTGATGCTGGGGCCAAGGGGACCGGGATCGTGCATCATCAACAGCACCATCACATTTTGATCTCAGTGACATCTCCACAACCCTTCAGTAAGGTTGCACAGCTGTAACTGGACGGAATTTAGTTGATGCACAAGAAAAGAACCCACCTCACTCTGTATTGGCTCTGCCGGGCTAATAGGAGTAAAAAGCAGTAAAATCTTACTTTAGTCATTAAAGTAAATATGACAGAATATGTATGGGCAACTAATCTGTTGAATAAATTGGTGCAATTTTTACACAGGTATTTTCAATGTAGAACTATATAAATTGGCTGCAGGATTTGTGGGGGAAGAGAGAGGAATCATGCAGCCTTACATCTGCTCCGACATTTTTTTCCCCAGGCAGAAAAGGATCCTGCTTGGTTTCTGGGTTTACTGAGTCAGGAAAGGAGTGCATTTTGGCCAGTGGTCTTGCATCAGGGAGCAACTTTAGAGCTACCCAGACCCAGCAGGTCTAATTGTCTGAAGACCTAAGCAAGGAGCAGAACTGCATGCCCACCTCCCCTAGAGCTGTTCTGAGCAGCATCTTTGTGGAAGGCAACACAAAGCCTGCTTCCCTCTTAATGATTTAAAAATTGCTTTAGTGATGTAAATTGGGGCTGTGCTAGGGGTCTCGCAGGAGGCAACCAAGGCAGGGAGATGAAGTAGGAGACAAAGAGATGGAATTCAAGGGTTCTTAGAAAAGACGGCCAGGGAAGGGAGAACAACATGCATATTGGGACCAGCAGGAGACCTAGGGAGTAGCAGGTGAGCACAGCAAGGGAAGAAAGTGGTTGAACAGGAGAGAGGCCAATGGATGGGAATAATAAAAAAAAAAAAACAGCTGGAAAGCTTTTTGGTTCCCAATATTTGAGATTCCTTATTTCTACTTGCAAAGTAATCTTAAATTATTTCTTTAACAATGGGAAATTACTGGATTATATGTTCAGAATTTTACAAAAAAAATGAAAAAAGGAAAGCTTACCTGAGTGAAAAGAGAAGTTTGATGGGAACAGTCTCTTATATAAGTGCAATTCAGGCTTTCCCTCCTCCTTCCCCCTATTCCATTCTTTTCATAGGATAGATAATACGTAGTCATGGCCAAGAAATGCTGTAATGAATCCGAAAGCTCACTTCAAACTTGTTTGCTGTCCCTATGGAGTAAGGGTGAAAGTAGCTGCTATGTGGAACACACACAAGTTTTGGTAACCCAGAAGTGTCTCTTTAGATAGGACTGTTGCTGTAGTAGCAGGTATAAATCTGTGGTTAATCTATGTTTAGTACATGTCACTGTGAGCTAAGGATCTCCTGATGCCAACTGGGAGAAGGCACATGGGTACAGAACGGTGACAGGGCTCTCCAGCATCTGGTATTTACATTCTAGTTCACTAAAGAATGCCATATAAGGTTTCTACAGAAAGCTTGTGTCACACTGGTCATCAGAAACTTTGCAGAATGTGTAAGCAGATAATATGTAAGGAATATATATATTAGAAATTATGCTCTTAAGGTCTTGTAGTTAAAGGACCAGAGAGACTGTGTGCATTGAGACAGATTTCTCCAGACAGGAGGTGGGAAACACTTATCTCCCTAGCTGACCATTGTGTATTATGGGTCTTACAATAAACGTCCTTTGCATACTGAGTCAAATACTAATGATGAGCTTGTGGAAACTTCAAAAGAAAATAAACAGGAAGAGGTAAACAGCAGGAGCATGGGGGAAGATCCCCTGTTTTAGAGGTGATATTTTGAGGTGTTTAAGAAGGTCTGGTGTGTTTTGGGGGTGCAGAGAGATGCCCTGGGATCCTTCAGCAGGGGAAGCCAAGCTTCCAGCAGGCTTGGCCTCATGAAAGAAGGATCTCAGCCATCTTGGTTGAAAAATGCTGTGAGGACTTTATTACACAAGAGGGCATTTGTTAGCTGAGTTTAGGCTCCAGAACGTGTGTTATGACTTTGTTTTTATGTGTAACCCTTTGTTTCCAATATTTATGTTTATCACATTAATTGCGTTCTTCGTTAAATAAACTTATACAGTAGAACCTCAGAGTTATGGACACCTCAGGAATGGAGGTTGTTTATTACTCTGAACAAGCTGTTATGGGATGCTCCTCGGGGGGACTGCTCGGAGCGGGGGCTCAGCTCTGCAGTGGCTGCCCAGTGAGTGCGGGTGGGCCCAGACAGCTGGTTCTAGCCCCCTGGCAGGAAGGGTTATGAATGAGGCATCCTAGGGCACCACAATATCAGGGGGTGCGTGGTGCAGGCTGTGACCCTTTAAAACTGAGCTGCTCCTCCAGATCGCAGGGTGCAGGCAGGAGCTCAGGCTCTGGCAGCTTACACTCCAGGCCAGGTTTCAATAGCAGCTCAGGAAATTTCTTCCCAGGCTCTGAACTTGCAAACTTGTCCCTCTCCCAGCCAGGAGGGAGAGGGGGAAAGTGTTCACCACCCCCTACCTGTAAGTGGCTGCCCCACACCCTGGCGAGTAGGGGATAGTGGTGGGGACTGGCAGCCCAGATGTGCCTACCTTTAAGATGCAATACAGGCACAGTACAGTATTTGCTGGTTTGTTTTTTTGGACTCCACTGCTGCCTAACAGCCTACTTCTGGTTCCCCATGGTGTCCGATTGACCGGTCAGTCCGCAACTCTGGTATTCGTATCTTTGAGGTTCCACTGTACTTGCTTTCTCTATAAATAAATCTAAGTGCTGTGAGTTAAGCAGCGCTATGTTCTTAAGTGAACTGGTAGGCTGCAGTGTACTTAGCCACTGACACACAGAAAATTACCAGACCCACTGTTCCTAAGAGGTTGGACACTCTAGGGGTACGCTTTGAGTCCTTGGGGGTTGTATACCTGTTACTCACTCACTCAGAGAGAGAGCAGAGTCCACTGGAGCTGAAAGGGGAGTATCTGTTCTGCCTGTGGCCAGGGTTGTCGGGGAGCTGACCCCTGGCAGACACACTTAAGAGCAGATAGTAGTGATATGCCTCCCTGGGGACTGTCACAGTCACCTTGGTCTAAATGCAGTCTAGCAGGAGAGAAGCTGCATGGAAAATTAATGAGTGTGGTGATCAAAGTCTCTATCCTACTCCTGCTTCAGCTGGGCCTGGAAGTATTAGGCAGGCAACAATCTTAGGTAGGTCTACACTGAAAGCGCAGATTGTGATTACAGTTCAAGTAAACGTACCTGAATTTTAATCTAGCGAGCTCAGATACCTGAGCAGAGAAGCTGCTGCATTTCAGTGCAGACTAGTCCACTGAGTAATTACCCCAGGTTCTGGGCAGGTTTGTACAGCCTGAGCAGAAACACACACTTCCACAACGTCATTGCTCTAGATCAAAGCTAGCTCGGATATGGTTCCTTGTGCTGCAGTCGCACCCTGTGATTGCAGTATAAACATACTCTGAGTTCCAGACAGACAGGACAAAGTCCCATACCTTCTAACACAAGCCCCAGAGATGACTGGCTCCAATGGGTGGGTTATTTAGGCTGAGGAAGAGGAAAAATTAAATAGAGTGGATACTGTATGTGGCACTCCTAAGAGAAACGTTTGTAGTCAGAAGACTAAACGTCACTGGAATTCTTTACTCATGGGGTAAAAATATGACCCCAGTGAAGTCAAGGAAGTTTTGCCATTAACTTCAACAAAGCCAGGATTTCATCCCTGGTATAATTCTTAAAAAAAAAAAAAAAAAAACTATGGGAGTCAATAGGTATAAGGACCGAGACCAATCAACAGGATATTATGTTGTGTAGTTGCAGCCGAGTCAGTCCCATTTAAGTGGCTTGTTACATTACTGTAGGGCTGCTGCCTACACAGTCCCATGTTCTCCATTCCTCTGTTTAGTTTGGATGTAAGCAGTTATTGATTCTGGAACATATGGCTTTTATAATAGTGAAAAAATTACAAAGAGGGTTCACAGCAGTTTGGGAAAGTAGGTGTTTCCTAACTGTTAAGGAAAAGTTAGCACATGTGACTCCATTTTGGTTTGGGGCCCACCATTGTTTAAATGCCAGCACATCATACACCAGGAGGAGTGATCCTTAGACACTGAATCCCTGTGAAAATCCTCCTCCTTGTCTCCAGCCTGCCTTGACTCCCAGTATTTGGTTTTTGTCAGTCTCTAACTCCCTGTCTCTTGGCCTTGATGTGAGGCCTCCCATCCTGATAATAAAGGTTACTGATCCGTGGCTTTAGGACCATGCTGTGTAATTAACATACTGGTATAGCATGAGGAATGCACCAAGCAGGGATAGGTGGTAGATAAGACAAGGGTTTGTTTATTGGCTAAGGTTTCCGATGCACAAGGGCAACATGCTTTGCTAAAAAGTATATAACCTTTGTATAATCTGTATTCAGGGTCCCCTCCTGGCTAGCAGGGGAGCACCACGCTCGAGCGTAATAAACTTAGTGTCTTTTGGGAACTTTGCAGTTGTGGACTTTGTTTATGTGCCTCAGCCTAGATTCGAACTGTGCGTGACCTATCAGGTATAATTCGCAGCATTGGTGTGCGTGTCCTACCAGGTGTAATTCGCAGCAGTTGTGTGCGTGTCCTACCAGGTGTAATTCGTAACAGTTTTGGCGACCACGAAGGGACTCTAGGCTCGCCCCAACAAGCGAGATTACACTCCTCCTCTCGGACAGCTCCAGCCGCCATAGGGTGAGTTCACCTTTGAGAACTCCGAGGAGGGGGGTGTGAGCCGTTGCTTAGGCGATAAGGTGGCACATTTGGTGTCCTTTTGGTATCCCATTATGGGTTCTGGGCAGAGTGTAAGTAAGGGGACCCCTTTGGCTGAAATTCTCGAGAATTGGGGGAATATTTCTGGCACCAAAGGTTTAGGTAAAAAAAAAGCTGTAATCTTGTGCAAGGTTGAGTGGCCAGCACTAACAGCTCAAACACCTTTTGACTGGCCACCGGATGGTTCCTTTGGTGGGGAAAAATTAACAGCGCTTAGGAAAAGGCTGGAAAACAAAGCTCCAGCCCAGATGGATTATTGGTATGTATGGGACAACTGGGCTTATGCGCATGCGAAAGGACGTCCTCTTTCCTCCTCCTTTTCTTATTCATCTCAGGGGTCTCCAGCCCCGCTCTGTGCTATGCCTGCTTCTGCCCCTCCTCCGGCTTACCCTCGGCTTTCTGACTTATGCCCGTCACCTCCTTGCTTGCCAATTAGCCGTTCTTTCTGTCCAGGTGACAAGCCTCATGGGGGTAGGACTCGGGTAGCCCTTGTAAGTGAAAATATTTAAGAAAATAGACCAGGAGGGCTGGGGGCTAGTTAAGAAGCCTACCCTCCTTGTTAATTTGGTAGTGAAACAAAGCTGGTGCTCATGGAAGGGACAGTTCAGAGAAAAAAAACAGGATCGGGCCCAATCGGGCAGGCAACAGATAGAGAGATTGGAAAACAGGTTGGAAACTTGGAGGTCATAGTGAAAAAAGAGGAGTAAATAATTACAGGAATGGAAAACGTAAATCCCGGAATAATACTTGAAATGTAAAATCTAAGTTAATTGGGTGTCGTTTTGGGAAATAAGCAAGTGATTTAAGAAAGGAAAGTAAGAAGTTAACTCTTTAGTTGCTGGAAAGAATTAAGCAGTTGAACTTTGTAAAATACTGGAAAGAAAAAGAATTCTTGGTTTCTTTGCAGCCATTTTGGAAAAAAATGGGCCCTTTTCCAAAGAAATGCAATTATACAGTGCTACTTAATTAAATATCTTATTAGGCTCCAAGGGGCTACAATAGGTGGTGTCTTCCTTTTCAGGTCGCTGTGTGTTTGACAGCAGGAGTTAAAAGTAAAAGGCAATCAAAAGTCTGGTAAAGTTTATTGTGCCCTTTTTAGAGTAAGAATCTTTAACCTGTGGATCCAAAAGCAAGCCATAAAGCATTTGTTTTAATGTAAAATTACCTAACTAATAAGGTAGAGGCCACTGAAACCTGGGCTGCCTATAAAACAAATACAAGAAAATATGGAAAAAGAAAAGGAGTACTTGTGGCACCTTAGAGACTAACCAATTTATTTGAGCATGAGCTTTCGTGAGCTACAGCTCACTTCATCAGATGCATACCGTGGAAACTGCAGCAGACTTTATATACACACAGAGAATATGAAACAATACCTCCTCCCACCCCACTGTCCTGCTGGTAATAGCTTATCTAAAGTGATCAACAGGTGGGCCATTTCCAGCACAAATCCAGGGTTTCTCACCCTCCACCCCCCCACACAAATTCACTCTCCTGCTGGTGCTAGCCCATCCAAAGTGACAACTCTTTACATAATCAAGTCGGGCTATTTCCTGCATAGATCCAGGTTTTCTCACATCCCCCCCACCCCCATACACACACAAACTCACTCTCCTGCTGGTAATAGCTCATCTAAACTGACCACTCTCCAAGTTTAAATCCAAGTTAAACCAGAACATCTGGGGGGGGGGGGTAGGAAAAAACAAGAGGAAATAGGCCACAAGTACTCCTTTTCTTTTTGCGAATACAGACTAACACGGCTGTTCCTCTGAAAGAAAATATGGGTAATTCCTCTGTTTTGCCTGCAATTAACAAGGGTATTTGCATAAAAAGGAAATATTTTAAGCAATGACTGACTGCCCAAAAGGGGTAGATCTGTGTTTTTTTTTGTCTTTCAAAAAATCAGAGAAAACTGATGCCAGCTGAAAAGCAATTCAACATCTCATAAATTTACTGGCACAATAGGAATTCTGTTCTGTGTTCTATGTCCTGTCTTGTGGTGTTTGTCTTTTGGCCAGAATTGCTGTGTTTAATTTTTCATAGGACAGTTTAGTTTAAAACTAAATAGAAGGGTTAAATCAAAATGCAGATACTCGTTTTATTCAACTTGGAATATATACTAAAGTTTAATACATTTGCTTAAGTAAAAAAAAAAAATTCATTGGCCAGATCTTTTAATTAAAAAAAATTGTTGTTAAAATTTGCACACCAACAGTCTTTGGAAGCAAGGACATGAAAGCTTAACCCACTCCCCATATTATACATGAAATCCTTCTGGCTACCTCACATTTCTAGCCAGAGGGCTGGGGAGGGAGGAAAGCTATTGGACACCAGAGGTTGTACCAAGTGGATTCCTCAAAAGTGGTTGTGCTTGTCCTGGCTTGTTACTCCAAAGCTCTGTAATAAAGTCATTTTCCTAAAAGGGTGTATGTGGCATACATTAAACAATAAGACTAAAGTGCTATATAATGGGCAATGTACATGTGTTCCCTTTTAAACAAAGGTGTATAAGTAAAAAGTGAAAGTTTCCTTTGCAGGTTAATAAAAGCCATGAAGGGGGGAAAAAAATAAAACGGAGGACAAGCTAATTCAACGCTGTAGCTGGCAGGCTCAGTCCAAAGATAAGACACTGGCCTGCCCAAGGACACTACTCACAGCTAGGATTTGGCTAACAGCCAAAAAAGAGGGAGGCTTGAATGTGCCCAAGCAGCTGTGAGATCTGCAACACACTGCCAGACATTAATAAAATGTGTTAGGTCTCTGTATTTACAGGTGAAAGAAGTCCTGCTCCAAGGATCCTGAGCAAACCTGCCATTTGTTAAAACCAGGTAACTGGGTCTACATAAAGGTCCATCAACAAAAGACTACTCTGGCCCCATGCTGGAAAGGCCCTTATTAAGTCCTGCTAACTACCAACACCACTGTGAAGTGACAAGGACTGACTGCCTGGACCCATGCTTCTTACTGCAAAAAGACCCCTCCCCCTCGAGATGACTTCACTTCGACTACTGATCAGCCTGTCCCTCCTTTTGGACAGCAGAAAAAAAAAACAAGGTGAAGTGCTAGTAACCTCTCCCTTGTCCACTGACAAAGCTAACCTGCATTCAGTATTTGCTAAAGAAACCAAAGCACTACAGGGTGACGTGCTAGTAACCTCTCCCCTGTATAATGCAAAACCATGACTGTTCCAAAAAAGAAGAAGAAACGCCTGCTCTGCTAAAACCACCAAAATCCAAGGATTCCTGACTGCAAAAGACACTGAGAATTGGCCTTGATGGCAAAGACGGAGCATTGTACATTGGCAGGGAGGAAGTTGCGGGATGTATTCTTGGGATTGTGAAGTAAAGTGGTGGGATGGGTTTATTCCAGAGGCTGGAACCTGTGCTTGTAGGCAAGTATAAATACCAAAAATGCCTTACAGCCACGAACATTACTCCCACCATCTGCCACCACTCCTTTGCAGGTAAAGGTTCCTGGATCCATCATAGCTACGTTAAGTTGCCGCTGGGACCCGCACCTGACCCTGACAAGCCATTGGACGAGCCACTTCACGAATGAACACCACAACCAACCCATGGACTAAGCTTTCCAGCTACTGGGACCTTCACAGCCCACCAGGACTTTTTGTATTCCTGTTTATTGGACTTACATTGGGGGGTAGTGTTTTTTGTATGGTATAAAGGAGGATGCCAACATTGGTATGGTTTGCCTGGGGGTTTCCTCTCCCTATTCCCAAGTCCAGTACAAGGATGGGGGGGCAATAGCTTCTTGAATTTAACCCGCGCTATCAAACAGGGTGTAAATCGAATGCAGTGTTGGATTTGTATTTATACCCCCACATATTTAGGTCAGGGGGTCCTGTTGGTAGGGGTACCTATCCCCCTTAATCGAACATTCCAAACTAAGCTATGGGCAAACACTACATTTAACTGGAATGTTACAATCCAAATATGGTCTATTGATATGGTGGCCCAGGGTAATTATGCTTTATGTGTGTCACGATGTAAGGGCATAGAAAATACAGTTTTTGTAGGGAATTTTGTGGGGTGCAAGGACACCACCCAAATCAGCTCTGGTGCGGGAGGCCCCTCTACCTACTCCAGGACCCTGTGGCCAGTCCCCGAGGGGTCTGTCTGGTTTTGGTTATGCAATCACACAGCCTATAAGGTTCTCCCAGCAGGATGGTGTGGTACATGTACCTTAGGGGCTATAGTACCGGCCGTGACAGTACACCAGAACCTGACCCGGAGAGAGATCCGCAATCTAGTATGGAGGGACCAACGAAGTATTCCTTTAAACCCCCTTTCTCAACGGCCCAAAGGCTTTCACTCCTTTGTGCGTTGGTTTCTGCCATGGTTGGGAGTAAGTGAGCTGAAAAAAGCTATAGTTAACATTTCAGCTGCTTTGAAACTAATGTCAAATGCTACTGCACATGCTCTATCTGCCCTTCAAATTGAAGTCACCCAGCTATCCCAAACTACATTGCAAAACCGCCTAGCCCTGGATTATCTCCTTGCAAATCAGGGCGGGGTTTGTGCTCTGGTCAACTCAAGCTGTTGTGTATTTGTAAATCAGCACCATAGGGTGGAAACTGACATCCACGTCCTCAAGCAACAGGCAGCCCTATTCCACCACATCAGCCTCGACACTACCAGCGCCGGATTCCAGGAGGTCTGGGACTGGCTCACCTCATGGCTACCGGATGTGGGGACTTGGGGACAGCGTATTTTGTATTTACTTTTTTTGACTGTTATTGTTTTTGCGTTATTTTTTGTATGCCTACAATGCTGCAGTATGTGCTGTCGGCAGTTGCTAACCCTGCAGCGCGGTCACTCAGCCCCAATATAGCTTACTGACGTACAAAAAGAAAGGGAGGACTGTTAAGGAAAAGTTAGCACATGTGATTCCATTTTGGTTTCGGGCCCACCATTGTTTAAATGCCAGCACATCATACACCAGGAGGAGTGATCCTTAGACACTGAATCCCTGTGAAAATCCTCCTTGTCTCCAGCCTGCCTTGACTCCCAGTATCTGGTTTTTGTCAGTCTCTAACTCCCTGTCTCTTGGCCTTGATGTGAGGCCTCCCATCCTGATAATAAAGGTTACTGATGCATGGCTTTAGGACCATGCTGTGTAATTAACATACTGGTATAGCATGAGGAATGCACCAAGCAGGGATAGGTGGTAGATAAGACAAGGGTTTGTTTATTGGCTAAGGTTTCCGATGCACAAGGGCAACATGCTTTGCTAAAAAGTATATAACCTTTGTATAATCTGTATTCAGGGTCCCCTCCTGGCTAGCAGGGGGGCACCACGCTCGAGCGTAATAAACTTAGTGTCTTTTGTGAACTCTGCAGTTGTGGACTTTGTTTATGTGCCTCAGCCTAGGTTCAAACTGTGCGTGTCCTACCAGGTGTAATTCGCAGCAGTTGTGTGCGTGTCCTACCAGGTGTAATTCGCAGCAGTTGTGTGCGTGTCCTACCAGGTGTAATTCGTAACATAACATAAAATAATCAACGTATTCATAGATTCCAATGCCAGAAGGGACCATTGCGTTCATCTGGTCTGACCTCCTGTAGAACACAGGCTTCCCCAAATTAATTCCTAGAGCAGATCTTGTAGAAAAACAACCAATCTTGATTTTAAAATTATCAGTGATGGAAAATCCCCCATGACTTGGTAAATTGTCCCAATGGTTAATTGTTAAAAAATTAATGGTTAATTGTTAAAAAAACAAAAACAAACACAAAAAAGAGACACACTTTATTTCTAGTATGAATTTGTCTAGCTTCAGCTTCCAGCCATTGGATCATGTTATACCTTTCTCTGCTAGACTGAAGAGCCCATTATTAAATATTTGTTTTCCATGTAAGTATTTATAGACTGTAATCAAGTCACCCTTTAACCTTCTCTTTGTTAAGCTAAATAGATTGAACCTTTAAGTTTATCATGTTAAGGCATGTTTTCTAATCCTTTAATCATTCTCATGGCTCTTCTCTGAACCCTCTCCAATTTTTCAACTTTTCTTAAATTTAAAAAATATTTGTAAGATGATCACAAAATTGTAAATTAAGAAAATTAAAATTATATTCAAAAGGCAAACTCTGAGGTTGCTTACAGACTGTGTGTCCTGGTGGGCTAAAATTAGATAATATTTTTGTGTTGCATTTATACATTACAGACTTCAAGCCTGATTTTACTTTCATTTACATCAGATAGATGCCTGTACAACTCCATTGACTTCAGTGGAGTTACTCCAGATTTACAAAAGTGTAAGGGAGAACAGAATCCGAATCTTCACCAGGAGAGTAGATTGTGAATTAAACAAATGCAGCCCCAGTCATGAAGTTCCCATCGAAAGCTTTTCTATTTTGAGATGGAGATAAAATATTAGATAATAAAGCCAGAAAATTCCTGAGAATTTTCCTTTACCAACTGAGCACCAGTTAACTTTCAAACTTGTACTGGAAACAAAGAGAATTCAGCCTCTGCCCAAGCTCTGTCTGAAACTGGCAGTTCATGTCGTAAAAGGTGGATTGCTATCACCTGGGGGACTCAGCTGTCACCAGACATAAAACAAATGAGTTTTCAGCTAAATCAACAGTCTGAATATAAGCGAAACACTATGTCAAGTAAGAATTCAGGATGATGCAGTGCAGAGTTCCCCATATCTTTTCAATTTATCTCAGCCCTGATCTGAATGGATTGTCACTGTAGGGAGAACTCTAGCACTTTCAATTACTGTATTTTTTCACTAAAAGGCAAGAATTGCAATTGTGTGCATCCAAATTTACCATTTGCTTTGAACTGAGTAATAAAGTAAACACATGCAAAGTAACGAACTTATTTAAGATAGAATATGCTAATACAAAAACTAAATACAATTTCCTATGACATTTAAATGCAGTCTCTCTTAGAAAGTCTGGGATGAAAAAAAATCCAAGAATGAAAAAACAAACAAAACAAAAAGAACCCATATCTGTGAAACTGAAGAATGACGTCCAGGAGCAACAAGTCAACCTGGAGACTGTAGAAAGAAAGATGTTCACTCTGCAGAAGTAATAGAGGAGCTGCTGGGGGAGTGTATAAAGCCTGGAGGCAGAGTTTGGCCATATGCCTCTCTACCACATCAACACAAACGACTTATCTTCACTTTTAAGGCCCTCCACATCCTAACCCCACTCTACCTAACACCTCTTATACAATATAAAGAAAATAGACTTCTGTCATTGTTCCACAAATGCCGGTTTTGATTGGCCATTTAAATACTTTTCCAACATATAACCTTGTTATGTGTGGGTGGAGTTCTCTGTAAATATCTGCAAAACCACATTGTTATCCTTCAAATTCCCCGTTAAGTCATTTCTCTGCTATGATACCTATCCAGAACTCGAGACTTGTTTGCTGCATGCTGACTAGCATTGTCTCATTATTTCCTCATATATACTTGTCTGTTTTTTGTATTGAACTGTTGTCTTGGACTGTAAACTCTTTCGTGGCAAGGACCCTCATCCTTGTACAGGATGGCATTGTACACCGCTAGCACAACTGGGCCCTGGCTTCTTTGTGCTACCGCTACACAAATAATAAATGCTTTGTACCACCCCAGTGCTGACTCCTCTTTCAATTTCAAGAAGTTAAATTTGGTGCTATAATGTGTACAAGCATATACAACCCTTTATGAGGGCTGAGTCAGATGGTTAGTAATGGAGAACATTTTTTTCTCTGGGCCACTAACATACATCCCTCCAATATTAGCAAGAACCAAAAATTATTAGAGTCTGAGGACAACCTACAGTCTGTGAAATGAGTTAGCCTTGATCTCTTTACTAAAGATTAAAGCTCCTAGCACCAACACCAAAACCTAGCACTAAAACTGGCATTACTTGGAAGGGGCAGCACTGGACATGAAAACTATTTTATCCCATTTCTTCAACAGCAGGGCTGATGCACAGCCGCAGAACAAAATGGCCTGCTGTATGTGGTCTGGGTATGTATGTACTCTGGGTATACATGACTTTAGTCCCAAGGGC